TTAATCTTCTCTATGGAGGATTGGATCCCGTAACTATGATATCAACGGAAGTGACCACACTCAGTGTAATTCTACAACTTTCTATTGCTCTTATATTGATTATCATCATTCTTCTTATTGCACTTTGTGTATTACATAGATACACAAAGCGTGCTCAACAAAGAGGAGAAGAAATTATAACTCTGAGAAATAGTTTCAGGTAATATTTTCACTGAAAAGATATTATATAATATAATATATATTATAATATTATAATATATATAATATATAATATAATGAACATTTTTATCTTAATAGACATTTATGCAGAAGTCTTAGAGGAAGGCATCAATTGGTAGCAGCAAGTCCTCCAGATATGCCTCCTATTCCTAAAAGTGAATTGCTTCAAGCATATCTTGAACGACACCGAGATTCTGATTATGGTTTCCAACATGAATTCGAATTATTACCAGATAGATTTACAGATCGTACAACAAGAGCTTCAGAAGCACGCGAAAATTTATATAAAAATCGTTATCCGGATATAAAATGTTATGATCAGACTAGAGTAAGACTCGCGCAAATGGATGGAATTTGTGGTTCCGATTATATAAACGCAAATTTTGTATTAGGATACAAAGAACGCAAGAAATTTATATGCGCTCAAGGTCCAATGGAAAATACTGTTTGCGATTACTGGAGAATGATTTGGGAACAACATCTTGAACTGATACTTATGTTAACAAATCTCGAAGAATATTCGAAAACAAAATGTGCAAAGTATTGGCCTGACAAAGGTGAAACCAAAAATTTTGGCGATATCACTGTTGAACATGTTCGAGAAAGAGCTTATTCGGATTATGTTGTTCGTGAATTAAAAATGACACGATTAGGAGAACGAGATGCACGCACCATTATTCAATATCATTTCTTAGTTTGGAAAGATTTCATGGCACCAGAACATCCTCATGCAATCCTCAGATTCATTAAAAGAGTTAATGAAGCTTATTCCTTGGAAAAAGGTCCAATATTGGTACATTGTAGTGCAGGTGTCGGACGAACGGGAACATTAGTCGCATTAGATTCTTTATTGCAACAACTTGCAGAAGAGGGTCAAGTTTCAATTTTCAATACAGTATGTGATTTAAGACATCAAAGAAATTTTTTAGTGCAATCATTGAAACAATATATTTTCATTTATCGCGCATTAATGGAAATGGCACAATATGGTGATACAGAAATTCCAGCATCGCAGCTTAAAAATAATGTTGCAAAATTAAGACAAAGAGATAATGGTAAAGAAAAATGTAGAATGGAAGAAGAGTATGATGTAAGTAGAAATCCTGTTAAAAGACTTAGTCACATTAAAAAAAAAAAAGTGTTAATCAAAGAAAATTGTACATTTTGTTTTTGATATTTGTAGAAAATCAACTCTGTATTAGAAGACAGAAAATCATTTTCCGTTGGTGGAGGAGAAGAAAATAAAAGCAAAAACAGAAGTGAATTAATAATCCCATATGACAGAAATCGAGTAATTCTTACACCCGTTCCGGGTAGAGAACATTCAACATATATAAATGCATCTTTTATTGAAGGCTATGACAATTCCGAATCGTTTGTTATTACTCAAGATCCATTGGATACTACAATAGCAGATTTCTGGCGAATGATTTCAGAACAGTGTATTTCTACGATAGTAATGTTATCCGATGTAAGCAGTTATTTCTTACGTTTTTTAATTATTTTTTATAGTATTATAAATTTTAAACTCGTTGCGTAAGTATTATATATGGTACGCAACTTACATTTTTCCATAATATTAAAAAAAAATTATACTTATAATAATTAGAGTCGGACGAAAAATATTATTGAGCCTCCGATTTTAAATGAATGTGTTATAATATATAAAACTAATATTATTATTCAAATTGTTCATATGTAATATAAAAATTTATTTTAGTTAAATGAAGGTCCAAGAAAATGTCCACGTTATTGGCCTGATGAAGAAACTGCATATGATCATATAAGAGTTAGATATATTCAAAGTGAGAGCTGTCCATATTACACTCGTCGTGAATTCTGCGTTTCTAATACAAAAACGGATGAAAGTGTTGTTGTAACACAATATCAATATCATGGGTGGCCAACAGTAGAAGGAGAAGTACCTGAAGTAACTCGTGGTCTCATTGAACTCGTAAACCAAACGCTTACAAACGATACAGAATCAAGCGGCTCACTAGTTGTGCATTGCAGCTATGGATCTGATAGGAGTTCTATGTTCGTCGCTCTTAGTATATTGGTTCAACAATTGAGAACTGAAAAACGCGTAGATATATTTACAACAACAAAAAAATTACGTTCACAAAGACATGGCATGATTAGCACTTTTGTACGTATTTCAAATTTAATAGTCAATCTTTTTTTTTTTTTTTTTTTTTTTTTATAAAAAAAATTAATAAAATAATTATATAAATGTTATTTTTATTTAATATTTCTAGGCACAATATGAATTTTTACATCGTGCTATCGTGAATTATTCAGATCTTCATAATTTAGCCGATGATGAACCAACTTCTTAATATTGCGGAATAAAATATTGAAATTTCTCAATAATGTTTGGTGAATATGTGCGTAAAAACAACGTACAAAAAATGTTTGGAGATTGTGTATTCGAATGCTCAAAAACCTATATTGGGCCAACCAAAGAGATTACTAATATATTGGTGAAATAAATACATCATGAAATTAGACTGAAATATACATGTGTATAAGCAATTATCGATCTTTGAGAATTTTTATACACAAACTGTCGAAGAGAATTATGTGTATACATTTATTCATACCACAAGGAATAAACAGTAAACATTTCATATTGACGAATTCATAGGATTAAACTAAACATATGATTGATTTGATATACAAATGAATTTAACCAATTATTGGTTAATTGTTATAAAGTGCAGTACAGTGAAAACATTCGTGATATCATGGTCTCAACAACATTGTGAATCTATCTCAATGATTTATTTTTATTGATAAAATTGAAAAAAAAAAAAACATGAAATAGTGTATTTAAACATTTTTGTGATTGAACATGGAACGTATGAAGAAAGCATTGACACAACAAAGTAAGTGCGTTTTTATTAACAAATACGACTATTTGATGGACTACTGAAATAATTAAGCATATTTATAAAACGTATAAATATTTTGACAAAATAAACCATATAAAAACTTACCAATCTAATAATTGATCGTATTTTTATATTATAATAGTTACATTTCAGACTTTATAACATACATATTATATTGTAATAAAATTATAATTTATAGAAACTTTGTATTATATAATATAACAATAATTTATGTATTTTTATGTTGTTTATACATGTATTCTTTTTTACGCGATCAAATATAGATGGTACAACTTATATGGTTTAAATTAAGAACTGGATTCTTCCAAACGTTTTTGCAGACATGCGTTGTTATTCTATCCTTCGATGACAAGATCAAACTCTGATTTGGTCTACCTTACAATTTATAATTATTAATAATATTACGCACGCATGTGTGTAAATTTATTTGTAACATACGTGTCATATACGATATAAAGCGTGCGTACATAATGCGCTTGCGCTAATTTTTCTTCTAAAGAAAGACTGATCTTTTTATTCAGTTTAAAATGCGCGAAAAACAGCACGTACTTTATTTGTACGATATATAAAACTACTGTGAATTATAACACGGAGAGAAAAATCATTTTTTTACTTTTTCATACACAAAACGATTAGGAATATATCTGTGTGTGTGGCATGTCCGCAAATGTGCTTTGTAAGTCACCGACGAAGTGTTATGCATAATTGGAGGGCTTATGCGGCATAGGAGTTAGGTTTCATTCAAGAATATTAAAAGATATAGGTAGTTCTTATGTATTGGAATTTATGAGTTAAATTATTGAAATAACTAAATTTTTGCCAAAATAAATTTTTTTAATTAGAAAATAAAACTACTATAAAATATTATTTTATGTAATATATAATATTATATTACATAATATAATATTATGTAAATGAATAAAATCGAATTCTTACATTAATAATGAGAATTACCTACAACTATTAGTATTCTCCTCACAGTGAATAATACTGAAAATAAAAACAAGTCGATGAGATTACTATAAATAAGGAAAGAAAAAGAAACGATATCTTTGAAGTAAGAAAAATTGTGAAATCATACATTATACATATTATATTATTTCTTCGCATGTTCGTTTTTTTCTAGTCAAGTTTTTAACTCCGGCATATACGCTGCTAAGCCATTCATTTATGGCAAGGGACAATCACATTAAATTTTTAATTTACATCGCATCGATCGACAAGATTTATTTTCTTTTCCTTTCCGTGTCATTCCATTCGTGCTTACGATGCACGTCCCCATTCAATGTACATGTGTGTATAACCGAGAATAACAATTAATTGCTAGTTTGCGCTTCGATTATGTTATAATTGATAGAGATCTAAGATACAAACATGCTTTATCTGTAATTAGAGTTGCTGCTATCACCTTCTGCTGTTGCTTCATTATATTAATAAACGGTGTGACATATTTGTTTTTATACTTATATAACAAAATTATTATACGTAGAAATATTTACAAAGTGCCTATGAATTTCCACCTACTGTTATTTTTTTTACATACTATAAAACATCATTAACATTTATCTTTCATAGATTGCAAATAATTTAAGATATAATATTAGAGATTTATAAGATAAGATATTTTTATCTGTATATATATATATATATGTTTATCAATGGTTTATAAAATTTTATAAATATTTTAAACCACAGTATTTTTACATTATATAAATATTTATACAGTTATATACATTTCATTCTAATTTCATAATAATGTTTTTGTTATCAGTCCAATATTTTCTTATTTGCGTAAATCTTGTCTACATTCTTTTTTTTTTTTTTAATTAACTCATAAAAAAAATATTGTATGGTGGAAATTTTTAAACATTTTGTATTGTAGATGTAGTTTCAAACGATCTTTAATTGAAATATAGAAAACATTTTCTTAGAATGTCAAATTGACACGCACAATATATAAAGAAAAATAATCTCATGGACTTTTAATATTTTATGATGTAAAATTTACAAGCACAGCACTGTAACAAATATATTTCGTTTAATTTATGTTACGTTATTATCAGTGAGAAAATAAGCGATGTTTAGGCATGAAACATCTCTTATTTGTAGAATATATTATTTATAAGATCTGCGATATATATATATATATAATTATTAATTGCGTCTTTATTATTTAAGAATTTTGCGCAAAATTAACGATTGTTTTTAATTTTTATCGCATCGCAAAGTTAAAATATACTTTAAATGCTCGCGAAAATGCGCAATTTAGAACAGTAATGATATAACCATTGTTAATATTTGATATGACATTATGCAATTGCAAAATTGTTATTACAATTTTGTAATTAATTGCATGTACTGTTCTTATTACATATTTTCATCTCGTAGTATGTGTATAAAGAAACATCGACATTTTTACAGCCAGTGTATGAATTAGAAGGATTAAAAGCATTGTTGTAAATTAATGTATACAATTTTTTATTTTTATCACGATAAAAATTCTCGATACGATCCATTGAAAAAAGCGGAAAAAAAAAAAGAAATATTTCAAGTAGCAAGTGTATCGCACTTTTTTAACTTTTTATTTTATAAAATGGACATCGAAAGATGCAAACTATATTATTATAATAATATAGAGATACCTCAGATATAAGTTAAAGTTGGTTTCACACAATTTACCATTTTATCTCAAAAAATAAATTATAACAATGTATTATTAATTGCAGAACTGTATTGATAATATATTAATTTTTTTTCTCAATCAAATTAAATGGTCGATTTAAATTGATTATTAATTTGATCGATATTAACTTTAATTTATCTTGAGGTATAAATGGCTCTATGTAACTGGCTAGGAATATGTAGCGCGAAAAATGATATAGCGTGCCCTATAAGAAACCTGTGCGTGACGTTTGTTAATTATTAATATAATTAGGCAATACGTTATAAGAGAATGAGGAGACGGCGGTTTTTTTCAAGAATAATTAATATAATTTCATATAGGATACATACTATATAAATATTTTCTTCTGTGACCAGAGAAAGGTGACTGACAAACCATGTATTACTTTACATGTTAAAGATGCCATTCATGATAAATTCATTTTAATATTTGAAAGAAATAACTGTGTTAATAGTATTTGAATCAGCTAGTATAGAATTTTGTAAATTGTGCTATTGCCATAGCAATGAGCATGATTATTATACGATTATTGTTGTCAATATGATTGTGCTGCATTAAACAAATAATAATCATTGAAATTAAAAATAAAAAAAAAAAACCTTTGAGATTTTACTAGAAAAAAATTTTGAATTTTCTTTTATCTCTGATCTAAAATGGCAATTAATAGCAGCATAAGTTATTACAATTCGAAAAAAGGGAAGCAGATTTTTCCAAAATATAATGGAAAACTATTTTGCTTGAAAGTCTAAGTCTTTGAAAAGTGAAGACTTTTTTACAATTTTGATACATAAAGTGAAATTTGCAATAACAAGTAAAATAATTATCAAGGACATTTTGTATGGTTATTATTCATTTTTCATCATGCTTTAACTATTGTTTGTGTTTTTATTGCTTTTTGTATTCACAAAAGTACATTGAGAAAACTTTTTATAATGTACATAGTATATCATTTTAATAATGAAGATACATTAACATAATTTGAATTTTGAATTGGAAAAGAATGATTGAGATTTTGTTTTTTTATTATTCTTTATATTTTTTAATACATGCACGAGCAATATAATATCTATTATATTTGATACATAAAAATCTAATGGCACTTACTAATGTTCCTGTGATATTCTATGCGACTGATGAGTTTAAGATATGTGATATGAATCACGATCCTTTTTATACAATTGACAATAGAAATCAGTTTTTTATACCATCAATTTTGTACTTTTATAACTTGATATTTTGAATTATTTTGAAATTTTTAAGTGAATTTTCGAAAATTTTTATACGAGCATACTTAAATTTTTTAGCAATCTTTTTACCTTTTAGATATTCCTATCGTCTAAATATTAAGATGAAAATAATCTAAAGATTAATATATTGCATGTTTTATGCATTAGATATCACAACAGAAAGAGATTAACCATAATTAATAAAATTGATTAATTATTTTATAATTATTCGAAATAGTATCAATCATATTTATGTTCGAATATTTGTATAATCTAAAAATATGAATTTTATATAATTATCGATCGATATGATGTGTATGTATTAATCTTTCATTGTAAATAACTTAGAATTACAAAAAATTACATAGTGATTCTTTTTTCCAATACTCAAAGAGAAAAGACGTTTCATCTGAGTATTCAACTTTTTATACATGTATAGAGTGTTTCAAACATGTTGAATTAATGGCTTTTTCAAATACTCACTTCTAGACTAAAATGGATCTCTCTATATATGTATACTTCGTTCTATATTTCCAATTATTTTTCTTCGTTACAGAATTGTAAAAAATATTAAAAATATATTAGAAGAATAATACAAAAAAGTATTACCAAAAGTATTCTTTATAATTAGTTATTAATAGTTGCGACGTTGCATCGGAATTTGTAACGACATTGCTTATTCTGCAGATATAGCAATAAAATATTTTACATGATTCAATTAATTAGCATATATTCAAATAATTAGCATATATTAAAATGATTTTCTTCAGCGTGTAGGCTTATATCGAAATTTTTATTTATTCGACTAGTAATTGTCAAGTAAATGATTCTGATATCTATGGATTAAGTATACGTACGAAATTCATTTAAAATATCGTGCTGTCATGTACAAATATACGTAAGTTTCGCTCGAATTGTATACGTGAAGATATGCTATGAATTGTCATTGTTTTATTTTTTGTATACGGTATAATATACACTTATATAAGGGATGAAATATTCGAAATCTCGAAATTAAAAAAATTTTGAATTCTTGAAAATGAAACATAAAAATTAAATTTTTTAAGTCAGATTTCGGCCCATCTCTATGTATCTTTATACATATATATATATTTAAACAATTAGTTGTTAATTTCTAATACGTTGGGTAATGTACATTCGATAAGTAAGCACATCTTTTTTTGTATCTATTTTAAATTTCAAAAAAGGAAATCTCGGCCTATTTTTAGCAAATCATAAACTTTCTTTGTATTAATCGCACAAAAAAAATTTCTAAAACGAATATCAATTATTATTAATCTATTTGTGATTTAAATTTACTCCTGCTATATTCTTTAGACATTTTCAATCTAATATTGTTTTTTAATCGTTTAGAAGTTTCTTAGTTTAACAAAATATATAAAAGAATTTTATGTTAATATGTGCATTATTTTTTATTTCAATTCCATATTAAAGATTTTCTTGTAACAAAATTAATATGCAAACAATACTAATAAATATTTTGAAGGAATAATTTTTTTTACTGATAAATTTTATACCGAAATTGTGAAAGAAAAACAAAAAAATTTTTATTAGACATTGCTTTTAATCATTTTAAACACTAACCTTTTGTAATGATATTCTTCCGTTCTATATATAATTTTCGTATTTTTTAAGATATATTCTTTTAATTTAATTATGATTGAGCTTTATATCATATGATTACAATACTTGAACAACTCTTTAAATTTTCGCGTCCGATATCGAACAATACTGAACAATCGGAACTAATGCATATGATAACTGTAATCTGCGCGCGCACATGTAAAAGAACGACCAAATTCAAATCGATTTAGCGATTATCGTCTGAGATATAGAATTGACATAAAAAGAATGGTTTCATAAAAAAAAATGTAAATGCTCTAAAATAAGGGCCTATTACCGCCGTCTCCGATTTAATTCGTTGATCCATGACAAACTAGAATCTTCTTTTCTTTTTTTTTTATAAATTAAACAATAAAAAAGATAAAATTGAAATACAACCGTCTATTGTATTACTATATTATGTTCGTATATAATGAAAAATAAAAGTTAAATTTCGTATACCTTTAGATTTTGTATGATATTCACTTTAAAAAAAGGTTATGCTAAAGATAAAGATATATATATATATATATATTATATATTATATATCTATGAAATACGTGTAATGACAATTGATTCGCCGATCTCGTGCAAAGATGATTGACAAACGACAAAAATATTGTAGCGGCACTGATCATCGAATCATCTTTTTATATGAAAATAAAAAGAAATTGTAAAGCGATATCGGTAACGGTGCACTTGATGTGAAAGGAAATA